CATTATGACAGTATATAACACCACATACAAATGTAATAGTTTTTAATGCCTTTAGAGAGACAGGGCAGTGGAGAGAGAGAGGGGAACAACCACAGACTGTAAATATGAACGACAAAAAGTGATGTCAGCCATCTGTTACTGCAGGGGGCTCCAGAGGTTCATCGGCAGCAGTCTCCATGTTGGAAATCCTGTCTCAGCCTAACTTTGAGTCAACCTAACGACAGACTGAGAGCTGGAGCTGAGGCGGGTTTTAAACTTCCTGACAAACCGTTACACCGCAGCCACCTGTCAATCATCTACGAGCCTAACTTTGGATATGTTATGTTTGTATGGTTTACAAAATATTGTAAAATATATATATATATATATATATATATATATATATATATATATATATATATAATATATTATCCCCCCCGACAGTGTGTGCCAGTGATGACAATAACTAATCAGACCTATTCCGTTTTATGTACCACGCTATAAACATGTTTATTTATGCTTTTTTACCAGTCAAATGTCAGACTTCCTGTGTTCCTGGAGCCAGCCTCTAGTGGAGATTCGAGGAACTGCAGGATTCTGCACTTCCACGTAGGCTTAATTTTTCAAGACCGGAGGTGTTCGCTTGGGAACAACAGATCGGACTTGAACCAAGGCCGCCCGCCTGGAGGATAACACCCTCCATACATCGGGTGCATCAACCACTACACCAAATGTACCTGTTTAATCAAAAGATATTGATTATTAAGATCCATCAACTTAGATTTAAAAAAAAGGGAGAGACATCTTACTACTGTATAATATAAGTAATAATATAATAACCATATAATAATGATAATAAAAACATGCATGTGTACAAAAACAATATAAAGATTAAAATGTAATTAAAGCCATGCTACAAAAGGCAATGTGCCAAAAAGTGCAACAATTAGCAAAACAGCCGCAATTATACCAGTCACATGTCGCCCTGGAAAAGCGAGCACAGAGTTAATTTTCTCTCTAGCTCCAAAAATGCTTCTATAAGCACTTTCTGAGGCAGAGACGTGTGATATGGAAAAAGCAATCTTCTAACAAACCCCTGTGTTCAAGGAACAGCAGAAACTCTGAGGGAGTAAAAAAGGTTAGTGAAGGGAGGGAATTACACACTTGAAAATGATCTCATGAAAGCCTATCAGTGACACCAGAAGCCACTGATTCAGTACGTCGCACAAAGCGCTCAATAGAGTGAATATCAGAGGATCAAAAAGCACTATATTGGATTAAATGGACATTGACTCTTATTGTCCATCTGTTACCCGCTCCTTTCAGCATTTCCCTTTTGCTGATTTGTCTCAGAGATAATAAAAAACCATTAATTTCTACATATATTTGCAGTAAAAGCTGAAGAGAAAACGGGTGGTGTGAAGTGCACACTGCTCCTGCTGCACATCCATCCAGAATGTAAATTTAATGCCACCATATGCTGATGTTTTCAGGCTGCAGCGTTGACTAAGTGACTCTGTTTTGTCTGATGAAAAAGTCAAACTTTTCTCATCATTTGTTATCTTGCAGAACACATTCACTCGCTCTCTCTCTCTCTCTCTCTCTCTCTCTCTCTCTCTCTCTTCCTCTCTCTCTTCCTCTCTCTCTCTCTCTCTCTCTCTCTCTCTCTCTCTCTCTCTCTCTCTCTTTCTCTCTCTTCTCTCTCTCTCTTGGACTGATAATCAAGTTTCTATTCAAACAGGAGCAGAAACAACATCAGCACAGTGTAGATTCTATGTTATTTCCCTGAGCTGTGTGTTTTCCTTATGAGATATTTTAATTGTAAATAGAAACTTAATCTATTAATGTGGGTAAAAAAAAAGAAGTGAATTAAGAGAGGAAATGAAACCACAAATGAACAGACTGAGCACACAACACACCGCTCCTATGAGTACATTAACGTCCCAGCAGAATATACACATAACAACTTGATTGGCCTCCGGGGATATAATATCTACACTTTAATTTCAGATAGCAAGTAAGCTTATCCTGTTACAAGCCATTACAAGAGTTTAATGCCAGCCGCTGTGTTTGTTATGCTCTCATTTTATACACTCGCTTCTAAGGATTTGAGATGAAAAGATCTCTGTTATTTGGGTTACAGCGAGAGTTTCTTTTCTTGCAAAATTTACTCGCATAATTAAAAAATAATCTGTTAAAAATAACTCTGCTGCTTATTCAATGATTCAGGAGAAAGTTGCATAGACAGAAAGTAGATGGAACTAATTGCTTGGAGTGTTATACTTTAAGATGTTTTTTCCACCCTGCATCACTGAGGCTGCTGGACAGAAGCATTTGTTTCCTGTACGGCTCTGGGCTTGCTCTCTCGCTCTAGTCAGACTGTTGCTCAGGACTCTTGAGTTCTGTGGTTGTAATACAGACAGAAGGTGCCAAACTGATGTGCGGTCATTACTCATCCCGTTGCATACTGAGAGCTGCACAGAATTAGAAAACAAGCTCAAATGAGTCAACAAGACAAGCCAGGGGTGGAAGAAGAATCCAGACCTTTTGAGCTATAAGTTACATTATTACAGATATTATAGACACCTCGACACATGCATTGTCAAGTTGATATGCTTCTTTTGCAGGAAAGAGTCTATAATTGATCTATACAGACAGGAAGTTAGTTACCTACTGTAAGTGCAGTTGTGCTTTCTGTTAGAGGTGCCTTTCCTTGAGATTAGAAAACAAGATAAATCTGAGGGGTCATGCAGATTAATATGGGAATGAAGTTTACCAAAATCTTTTTTTTCTCTTCCCTCTGTTTGTTCTTCTCAAATGTTCATAGGTCTCTTGCACTTGCATTAAATTCGTTGTTTCAAGGCCTTTGGCTTGAGAGGCTGTTCCCTGTATTCAGAGGCAAAGTCCTCGATGCACCCCATGGTTCGTCTCCTAACTGCAGCGCCTTCCCTCCCCATCCCCTCCTACTCCTGTTCCTATTAAGTATGCAGCAGTGTTCAGAGTTTAAATGTCTAATTATAGTGTAAACACAGTTGTTAATATCTTCTTGAGATCTCGACTTCTTCATCTCAAAGCTGCAAACACTCCATAACAAATGGCAGCATGGCTATTGTTTTGTTTTATAGATAGACAGAAAACTCAAACACATTCTTACTGCTAATGTGTCCTGATACATACTGCCTTCCAGGGGGAATGATGTTCATTTGTGACATCCTCATTTCATATTCTCACCAGTTGGCCGACGCCTCAGATTTGAGGTGTAATATGGGCCTGCCAAATCAGCGGTAGCCCCATTACTCATCCCCCTCTGTGCCGTCTCCTGGCTGGTGCTCCGGCTCTAATGCAGATTACAGGGATATATGAGGGCTATTGTGTTCGCTGCAGGGTGGAAACGATCACAGGCAACCACATCCCTCTCTGATGCGTCCCTCTACATCTGTTCCCCCCCCTACGTAAGCCTATCTCCAGATCCATCAGAGGCCCCCCCCACGACCCTACTCGCCCGCCCTTATCGGATCTGAGGCGGACTAATCTATCGCACATCAATTATATATGCTATGTGTAAGAAACTCTCACTATATCATCTCTGGGTCCTCAGAGACAGTGTTTAGTAAAGTGATTAGTAGCTTTAGTTTAAGTGTTAAATGGTCCATTTGTGATACATAAACGCAGGCCTCCATTGGAGAAGAAGAATGCTTCTTGAATAATGTTTTTCTCTTAATGATAGTATGGGTTGAACTTTCATTAGTGCTCGCAGAAATGATTAAAAGTAGAGAAAATTCCAAAAGTCCAGACTCTTTTATAGCCTTTTGGGTGGAAATCCACACAGGTGTCAACCCTCATAATCCATAACCATTTTTTTTCCTGCTGCAAGACAATCCAACATGATAAACGAGCCTGAGGTTTCACAACCTAGCTATTTGCTAAGGTGTTATTAGCTGCAGTTTTAGACCAAGGTAGTGTATCCTCATCCCACAGCACTTCTCTTAAACTTACATTTACTCTTCTTATACGTTTTAGTCTTTTTAAGTATACAGGTGAAATACTAGGTACTTTCATTTCAACAGTCACACACACATTGATCTGCTAATATCTGACACTCCAACACTCTGCCTGGTGTCTCCTTTGTCATATCTGTCATTTTCATTTAAATATGTTTATGCAGCCTAGAAAATCTATCTATTTATTTATTTGTTTAAGTCTGCATTGTTCTCCCTCCAAAATACCACTGCAACTTCAAATCATTTCCAACTTGCTGCCCGACAGAGACACAGAGGTATTATTCAAACATCCAATCTATTCTGTGACCATAACGCGTCCAAAAAAACCCACATTTAATCTTTATGCAAGTCTGTCCTCATGTGTTGTGTAAATAGAGCATTCATCATCTCATCGGGCTTCTTACTGACTGTTTGAGTGATCTGTCTCTCAAACTGCTCCTCTCCCGGGCAGCCCCATCCATCACTTTCTCAATGAAGATGTCACAGCCCATTGTGTGGACTGTTATCCAAACGCTTTCAGATGATAAATTAAAAGCTAAACTTTATTTTTTGTTTTGGTTCATAAGGACGGCTGGTTCTTTTTTTCAATATGTGTACAGAATCTTCACACACGCCAGCAGCCATATGTTTCATTTAGGTTTTCCACCTACTGTCAACAATTTTCACCTCAGCGGAGATGTTAGCAGGTGCAGCAATGTGCTCACCATTAACTTTTCATCAGGCAGAGTAAAGTGCACCAGTCATCACAAGTAGACGCTGCTCGACATGGGACCTGACTGGTGGGAGGTTAATGGCTGGTTTTTGTTGTGTGAGAAGAAGCAACGGAAAACTTTTGAAAAGGCCAACGTGTTCTGAGATCGATGGCAATCAGAGTGTGTTTGTTATGAGTCGGCAAACAAAAGATAATTACCCTTAATTAACTGAAAAAGCCATAAGATTGACTCATTAAATAACCAAACAGGTTCATGTCTGAATGTACCTGACGTCTCTCTCTCTTCTTCTCTTCTGTGTTCGCTGCAGGATCCTCGCAGGATCCTCGCAGGACTTGATGTGACGCAGGGAGGCCTGATCTGACATTTGGATTCAAAGTGCAGACAAAAATCCAGAGGATCACATTCGAGCCCACGCACATACACACACGCTCGCTCATCATACTTTCTTCAGTAAGAAATCTCCTCCATCACTTTTGTCCCTCTGTTACATGTTCTGTCACTGAACCACCAGGTAGACTAAGGAACATCAACTACTCATTTTCATCATTTTGCAGGTGAGGTGAATTAATAAATCTGTGATATGTGAAGAAAAAAGTAGAAGAAATCCATCCTATTCCTCCATAAAAGTACAAAAGCATCTAAAGGCTTGCTCCAACAGTATTTTGTTGTGCATTTCCTCTACAGTAACAATAAAGATCATTTATCAAATTATCAAATAGATGTAGGCTCATGTAGTTGTGTTATCATATATTATATCATGGTCTTCACCCCTAAAATCTTAATTTGCATCCTTATATAAACTGGATATTTCAGTGTCTCATAATCACAGCTTTTAGTATGACATGTGGAGGAAGTTCTTTGGTCTACTTAAGAAAAAAAGGATCTTATCACAGTCTAAAAAATATTGTTTTACGTCCTTAATTGGAAATATTCCACCGTTAAAAAGTGTATATAATGAAAAGTGATTTTAAAGCCTGAAAAGTAAAAGTATTTTTGCTTAAAAAAAGTAATTAATCTCTCCTATTTTCAATTTGAAATGTAAAACCTGCTGTCATTAACAAGTCTATAAATAAGGGATTGATGATATTCCATATCTCTCAGTTTGGCATCTTGAGATAGTGGATTTGAGTTTCTTGTGTGACCTGCGAGCTCCTCCCTGAGGGTGGAGGGGGTCGAGCAGGGTAGTCGGTCACTGAAGTTGGACTTCAGAACAGACAGACACAGCTGAGTGCTTCTCTCTGCTTAAATACACAATCTTTTTTACTACTTTATTGGAACATATTGTTTTTATGATGATTACGTTCTTTTTAAAGTAAAATCTTCATCTGAAATCACAATCTGCTTCTTCACATAACTATTAGTTTCATATTTCTTTTATAATCTTGCATAACCTACACAAATAGAAAACCTTTCTCTGGCTTTAAATGGTTTTTTTTTCAGGTTTATATTTTAACTACACCGTTACAGCCAATAAATGTTGCTTTCTGTGCCGATTTCTAACATCATTCTTAACACAAAAATCCTGTTTTATTCCAAGTATCTGCAACCTGAGCGTGGCACTGCGACCTTTTTCAGTTCTAATTAGTGAGATTAAATGTAATCTGTTACCTCACTGTTCTCCTCTCATAAGGCCTAAGATCTGTGTCAGCCCACCACCTTCCTCCTCCACCTTACCACCCTCAGTGCACCATAGTTGCGTTATTAAACTTGCATAAGATCATTAGCATACAAAGCAGGAAACCTACCATGGCGCATTCATACATATTTATCTGCCTGACTTGTGCATGCGTAAACCGGCGCTGTAACCCCGACTACACACAGTCATGACTGCTTCTCAATTGCAGGAAAACACGATTTTTTACTAGAAGTTAATTTAGACTTAAAGGGTAGATATTTATTGGTGCAACATCTTAAGAAGGAGCAGCTTGTATTTGCCCCAAACTACACATTAAAAAACATGTGCCACTGCATGTAAGACACAAATGTGTGTGTGTGTGTGTGTGCGTGTGTGTGTGTGTGTGTGTGTGTGTGTGTGTGTGTGTGTGTGTGTGTGTGTGTGTGTGTGTGTGTGTGTGAAACAGAGCAGATGGAGTTTGGTTAGGTTCATCAGAGCAGTTTGCTTCCAGCATATCAAATATTTTCTGCACACAGAGGAATTTCAGAGTCTGCCAACGCCTGCAATACTGCTGTACACAGCAGCACATAATCAAACAGAGAGAAAGACAAACAGAGAGCATGCACTTAAAAATACCTGTTTCACCTGTGGGCTATCTCTGCTTTTAAATCTGCTCCTCTTTCTCCCTCCTTCCTTCCACTTCCTCTGCTCCACCTCGCTTTTCTCCAGCTCTTCTCCCTCTCAGAGATCACTTCCTGGTGAGAACACAACCCCTCCTTTACTCTCATGCAGCACGGGACTCCTTATCTGTGTTAATAAGGATTAATTAATCTCATTTCCTCCTTCCTCCTTCCTTCTCTACCTCCCCCCTGTGAGATTGCTGTTGTGTCTTATGGCTTTTTATTCCTACGTGATTGGTAGATGGGTTCATGTAGGAGTAGAAGCCACTAAACACGCGGCGAGTTCTCAACGCGCTGGCCAGCCTCCTGTGGATGTGACAGCTGCCATGTTCACATCAGTGTCCTGCCCGTTATCAGGAAGGAGCCCACAATAGAAACAGAGTAATCACTGCAGAGTTGGCTCCTGCTTCTTTTTTAGACCAGATTTTGAATGTGGAGAGGCTGGAACATGACTTAATGAAATGCTTGTTTTACTTAACTGAACAATAGATTTCAGGACAATAGAGCAGAATGGACATCATTATTGGTCAGGGAAAATCCTAAATAGCGAACAAGACCTACTTTTTAAGAAGATTTCCCACCTGCATGCAGGTGTCGTAGCCCCAGGGTCGTAGCACAAAACTGGAGCTGGAAAGTTCTTAAAATAGAGCTCAGGAGGAAATGAAATAACTTTCTGTGGAAGGTCATAAACGTTGTTGAAGTATGTGTGAGTCTGTGCAAAGTAGGAAAAAGAGTGGAAACATAACAAACCTTCACCTAGGATACTGTAGGACACTTTCACAACCTGTCAGTGTGGATTAAAAACACTGCATCTGAATTTGTAGAATAGATATTATTATTGCCATGCTCTTGCTGTTTTGTGAAAATGATGCATGTCCAGCATAACTACACAGGAAGAAAGCTCTGTGGCCAAGTATTCGTCAGATTTTATTTTGTATTTTCCCTCATGAACTATCCATATTCAGATGATTTTGCGAGTTCATCCTTGTTTTTGTTTAGTCCACATTTGGATCTTCTTCTCCACCAACCACTGAGAGGAATAGCTTGCTCTTTAGCTTCTAAATGCTCCACTACATTATTACCACTCACCAGATTTTCCTTTTTAGTGCTGTCTGATGTTTGCTGCTATACAGGCTGTATTGTCTATTGGTTTAGCTTTTAGAATGAAAACAGCAGCTTGCTGAGAGGAAACCAAAAAGTAAGATGAGGTGATGGAATCAAAAAGAAAATGTATTCTACATTGATAGTTAACCTAAGATATTTACCATAGCATCTCTAGACTTTTCTCTACCCATATAAAGACATTTTTTATTTAGCTCAATCAGGAATTCCCAACAATTTTATACTAACCAATAGGGCTGGGGTGTTAACTGAAATTACTTTGTTATCTTCCTATGAGCATTCACAATAAACAAATTGAGGAAGTCTGAAGTTAAAGCAATACAATAAATGATTTCATGCTTTCTCACTCAGAATGTGTCCATTTGGCCTGAGTAGAATGATCATGCTTTCACACTGTTTCAATGCAGTCAGATGAATCTTAAAGGAAGAATATGTGATTTTTTGATCCGGCAGATGTCGCCCTTGAGCACCAGCATGAAACCAAAACAACTTGTGCTGCATTGTTGTGTTAGCATGCTAATGCTAGTGATCTTTATCATGCTCGTATCTTCACACTGCATGTAAATTTACCTGAAATGAGCGTGATCTAGAAACACAGTTAAGCAGTGAGTACAGTATGTTATTCTTCTTTTCTCTAGTCCCTCAATTAAACTACTTTTATACACGAGGGGAGGAGTCAGCCGGCTGTCCAGGCGATGTAAACAAACTGAAGATAGGACTCTGAAAACTCTGAAAACATCACAGACAGTGGGACTCGGGTGTTACACCCATTGTAGACAGTCATGACTCACAGAGTTATTTTCAGAGGATATACGGTACTTGATTTCTGCGTACTCTTCCATTAACCAGTTGAGCCCATAATATTTATCTACTGTTTATCGTATCGGATAATTTTATCACAGATTCTCACCGATATTACTCGATTTTATTCACCAGTCAAACAGCTGTATTACACTAGCAGTTATCTTTCTGGCTGTCACCAGCAGAGGGCGCTATATGGATTAAAACAAGCATCATCACTCTGCAGAGTGTCGAGCGGTGATGCACTTACATGCTCAGTTACATTCCAGTTGAGTGACGGTATTGACTTCATGATATATCCACAAGTGTTTGGTAACTGCGTTTGTCTACTGTATATATCTCTACAGACATAAAATAGATCTTAGAAAGAAATCTGCGTATATATCAGTATCAGATTTTTTTTCCCCTCCCAAATATCAATATCATTATCGTGCCCAAACATCACATATAGGTCTTGCCCTAGTTATCAGCTCCCCACTGATTGATTGGTTTCAATTTAGTGTTTTTAAAAAATAAATTAAAAAGTTTTTTTGGACTATTTTGGATTTAGAAGGATCTGTTAGTAATGTGTAAAAAATCTGAAATAGCCGATAGACATAGAAACAGTCACTTATAATACCCCCATTTTCATTTGGGTTTTTTGCTCTTCATTTTGTTCTCACAATGTTGAACATCGTTTATACACATCCCATGCAGCCTAACTACTACAGGTTATGTTGTCTTCTGGTGGTGACATCACATCCATGTTAGTTTCTCTCTTGATAGGACTGTCGAGACAAAAGCCTGAGACCTGAAACTCGGCTCACAAATGAAGCCTCATAAATCCCTGTTCACTCATAAATGAGGTCCGGGACATTTTGTCTGGCTCCAATCGCTTAATAATGGTAACTTTCTGCCTGAAGTGAACTCTGTGTCAACCAATTAAGCAGGACATTCAAATGATCCTGCTCCTGTTGGGTCCACTCGGGCGCTCTGGGGTTTAGGTTTTAAATGTCAACCTCGTGTTTGTGTTTGCTGCTCGCTCTCACATTCTTAATAAAGCTTAAATGTGCTGTTGTCTGAAACCTGAATTATTAATCCCAGGATATTACAAGAATTTGACACATGCTTGCAATTGTGTGACATTACTTCTGCGCTCGATATGAAGCGGATAATTATTCAAGATTAAACTGCAAGAGATTCAGTCTGCTGAGGTTTAATGATTAATTCAAGGCTGTAAGTTGTTGTGATCTAATATTCAGTGGGCGGGATGGGAAGTTTCTTTAGCTTGCATTATGGGTTTAATTTATTTTTCAGGTTCCAACTCCTACATAGGTTTATTTTTTTGCATTCTTCATAGAGACACAAGGAGGTCTGAGAGAATAGCAGAGCAGCAGAGACGATTTAGAGGAGGCTGAGAAAGGATTGGATACACGGGCCAGCGGGGGAATCTAAAGGTGGGAATAAACTAACAAGAGGTTTGAATTATTAAAGACAGTACTGGTACATGAAGGTAGCATCCTCTGTTTTACCAGAGGGTGTGGTCTCTATTCTGAATCAGGTAAAAATTCAGAAAATCATCAGAATCAGAGTAATGGGATTTTCATCTGACAGCTGCAGTAATGCCTTGCGTGTGTGTGTGTGTAGTAGGTTTAATGTACCAATGTTGTGCTACTGTATCCAACCCCCCCGCAGGCTACACTTTTTTCCCCTCCTGTAATAAATAATGCTCCTTTGTGTTCTCAGCTTCATTTGTTCCCCTGTTGTAACGTCTGCTCAATAAATAATGAATCAACCTGCTGCATAGCACTCCTTTCATTTGTCTGTCAAACATTGATTTTTTTTTTTTTGTTTGTGCTTTGAATGCCACACACACACACACACACACACACACACACACACACACACACACACACACACACACACACACACACACGTTCAGGTCTCAGGTCTTAAAAAGGTATTTTTTTGTAATTTGGGCTGTTTAAGAGGAATCTCTCTCTTAAGAGGAATCTCTCTCTGGATCTAAAAAAAGCGGTGCAAACAGAAAGACAGCAGCAGGAAAACACATGCATAATTATTAGTAAAAGAAACATAAAATAAGCTTCATTATGTAGCAATGTCAGTAATAAATGCAAGGTACTGTAATACCTAATTAGTGCATTTACAAACTGCCTATCACTCTCATAATTGCTCATATTAGGTCTGATAAAAGCCATGAAATTGCCATACATAACTGCACAAATGCATACTGATGATAAAATAGTCATATTTGCAGCACCATGTAATCCCATAAAATGTGTCTCAGCATGTGATCTGAAGGATTGTTTAGGGTGAATCTGATGCAGAGGATGACATGCAGAGGCACAGCGTGATTCTTTCACTTTCTTTCGCTCTGAGATTTTTGGGCAGTGCTCTCTCGCCTACACACACCAGCTGGCTGTTGTCTGGGGGAATCGCCTCAGCCATCTTTTTTCTGATGAAATCAGAGGAAATCCACAGGCAGCCAAAGGCAGACCACATATCCTTTCTTTTTTCTTTTTTTTAACTCCTACTCTATTCAATAATTCTCAGTGATGGGCCTCTCCTTTGAGCACTGGCACCACTCCTCACTCTAATTAGCGAAAGGCAAAGAGGCCCTCTTGTTTGTTGGCACGCAGGCGGTAATTGGATAATCCCTGAAATTTGGGCGACTGCACAAAAGGGAATCTGTAATTAAACCAGAAAGTCTGTCAAATATTGACACAGATGAGTCCTGCAAAGTATAGATATAGAGGATGAGTCAACAAAACAAGGTT